CTATCTTATGTGCAATAAAGTTTATATTTTTATATCCACATATCTATAAAAAGATGAGCACACCGAGAAAAAAAATATTACAGCGCCATCATATTTTTTTAAAATTGAAAAATAGAAGTAAGATCGAGGCATGGCAAAGGCACATGAGAGGTGAAAAATCTCAATTTTCTCAATTTTTTTTACGATAACTGATTGGCTATTAAATGAATTGGAATTGTATTGAAAATACATAATACACACATATAGAGAGAGAAAAGAAGGAATAGATGTGAAAATAGTTGTATTTATAGCCTTTAGAGATTCGCAACAGAAAAAAAAATTTCTTGCTGATTTTGTGGAAAATTGTTTCTCATGACTTATAAAAATAGATTGAAGTCGCTTTTTTTTTCCTTCGTGTGCTGGCAATATTTCACCTAATACGGTGGCGACGGCACATCCACACACATACACAATTCCCTATACTCCAAATCGTATGAATGAGCTTCAGTATTTCATCATTAATGGATATTTTTTGTTTCATTCAATCTCATATTTTTCTTGGCCCCCACGTAAATTTTTAGTTGAACCGCTTGAAAGATGAAAAGAAATTGAATTTTATTTTATTTTTGCCAACTTAACATCCATACATGCAGACAGTGTGGGGAGAAGGAAAAATAAATATCTTTATTGAATGAGCATAAATTGAATGCGATTTTATTCCATGTTTTTCTTGGCCCTATTCAACCTAGCAATGGTTCTATTCCTTTGTGAAGATGGTCTATATTTTTATTTTTCGACAAAAAAAAAGAACTTTTGTAGATTTGTGCATACATGCTTCTTTCATGTGAATTATGGATATATTTTATTGTAAATGGCTTCTCTCCTCTAGAATATCAGCCAGAAATGTCTTAATGTCTCTATGTATGTTACGTATGAAGACTTACGGCTTACGACAGAATGAGCACAAATTTTCTTTTGAATTGAACACTGAGGAGAAATTGAACAGTGGATAGAGGTGATTTGGAATTTATGGAAGTCTGTTTTGAGTTCTTTTAAAGAAGTTAGGGTTTTTTGAGGTTATGTGTAAGGATATTTGAAGAAAAAAATATTTAAAATTTTAGGTTATGTTGGGTTAGGTGCAATTTTATTCAAGTTTGAGGTTAATTTGAACTTAGTAAAGCTTGAAGTGTCAGCTACCAAATTATTTTAAATGTGAGGTTATGTTGAATTTTGTTTTCAAATTTTGGCGGTTCAAGGGTTGTTAAATTTTGAAAGTTTTGATGTTACGTAGTAGATAATACTGAAATTCTTAAAAAATTATGAGGTTATGTTCAAGATAATCTTTTGAATATTGCTAGTTTTAAGGTTATGTGTGCTTTGGCAGAGTTTTAGGTTAAGAATTAGAATGAGAGGATTTGAGCTTATGTTTGTGATAGACTCGAAATTTTAGGAAAATTTGAGGTTATAATAATTGCCATGCTAGCTTTTACGTTCATTTCTGAAAAACACGTGGTTTTTTTATTTCAAAACCTTAAAATAACTTTAAAAATTCCTTTTAAACCCTCTTAAAAAACAAAATATCCAAAATCAAACCACATCTCAATTTTTTTGACTCATCATCAACTCCTCTATTCAAAACCATCCAAAAAGACATTTTCCTGAGTGTAAAAACAAAATCCAAGAAGATGAAAATAAATTTTCTCATTTTGTAATTTGAAGTAAGAAATTCAATTGACTTGCATTCAATCTTATGCATGGCTTGCAAAATATATACTTTTCTCTTTTCCATCATCATCATCGTCGTTCATACATCTTCCTATTTTTTTTTTCATCAATATATTCTTTCTACTTTTTATAAAAAAAGTTATCTCATAAGAAAAATATCTTCAAACAGACATGATGAAAATTTACTGAAAATTTTAATTGAAAGTTAATTTACCGAGGAATGAAAAAAAAAAATTGGAAAATTGAAAATTAATTTAATTCAGCTCTCACTTCCAATTCACATAAGTGAAGTTTTTCGGGATGCATTCTTTTAAAATTATATGCAGCACAGAATAAAATGATTATATAATCAATAGTGTAGGAATTTTTCCCAAGGAATGTGGATGCAGCAAATAAGAAATCTCCGTAGAAATTCAATTTCGATTGGAATTTTTTTTCTTCCTTTTTCATTCCTCCTTTGTATTCAAAAATTGCATTGCGAAGCGATAAATTTCTTTCTCATGCTTCTTTTATGGCACCATGCATATTTTTGATTTCTTTTTTGTGGAGGTTTTTGTTTTGTTAAAGGTGTGCGAGTTGGGTGGGTGAATCTAAGATTTATGATAAAAAAGTGAGGTTAAGTTTAAGTACCAGCGAAGATTTTGTGAACTAAGGTCTGTGTTTTGAAGTTTTTGTGTGAAATTTGATTCCAGTTGTGATAAGGAGTCTTGTTTTTGAGTATTGATGAATTTTTCAAATGCATATCCTATATAGAGCAACTGTCCGTCTAGGTTTTTGCCCAACCCAGGTGTATACTCTTATAAAAGCACATCCAACCCTCAAAACTCAGTTATCAAGATTCGGGAGGAGTATCTTTAATCCAGGACAGGTTAATATAGCTACTCAGGATACACTACCCAAGTTTGAGATATATTACAGACTATAGAACAGAGATTTTTGATTCAAGGGAAAGGAAGATCTAGAATCGAGCCCTTATGATCATTATTTCAAGTTCTGTATAGAAATTGATGATTTTTCAGATTCTAAAAATGTATCTTGAATCAAATATCAAGCTTTCTTTATTGTAATAAGTCATTATCATAGCTATACTAGGCTTCTTGTGCTTTAATTCCATTACAACCTAGTTCAAGTACTTAATACTCATTAATTCACAGAAATATCTTCACATACCTCTCAAAAAGCGCCTCAATCTTTACAAAAGCCTCTCAAACTCTTCCTCAAAGCGACTACAATGCTACGACAATTCAAAATCAAGCTACAAAATTGCGATGATAGCAATTTGCAATGTGAAGTGATAAAAAAAATCATCTTAGAAACTTTCAATATGTTATCGAATATTGTAAAAATTTAGCTGGCTGCATTTCATGTATCGTAGTCACTCCTATTTTTCTGTTCATGCATGAAATAAAAATCATATAAGAAGCACCACATGACAGTAAACTTTCATAAGATCGCATTCAATTTGCATGGATTTTTCACAATTTTCATCCGCTGTGCTTCAATTTCCTTGACTCTTTTCATAGTCAATGAATAGAGATTTCCTATCTTAAAGACGAAAACAACAGAATTGGAATCCAATATTCAAGAGTGAATAGCAAAGTGCGACGACCAGACATAGAAATTCTTTCATTTCGTCTTCTTTTTCACCATTCAAATAATATGCAATGACTGTGTGAATGTTGAGCATAAATGCCATATTGAATTGCTTCTTCATGTTTCGAAGGACAAAAAGTCAAAAGACATATAAGCAAGGCAGAATTGAACACATGTGACAAGCCTTGCTACGTCCTCTCTTATGGGTGTGTGAGAATCATATGAAGTCATCTCAATTTGAAGGGCATGTACGAGTCACATGTGTAAAAACATTCCAGTTCCAATCTTAGTTTTTGTTTATTTGTGCTGTATGTCCTTCAGTTTATTCTTGGCCCTCAAACTTGATATTTTGCTTTTTTTAAGAATAGAACAAAACGGGTCATAGCTAGAAGATGGTCTACATATTTTGATATTTTCAATTGGGGTTGTTCATAAATGACGTCTATCATATAATGGAAATTTTAAGGCAACTCCTCACCCATTTTTCAAGCAAATAATGCTAAGCTGTCGAAGTAACAAAGCCCCCTGAATCATGTACGTCATTCTTGAATGACCCCCACTATCATGATGCTCCTTTTTTGCTACATGCACAAAAACAAACATGTGGTTACTGTTTTTCATCTACATTCTATGGCGAGAAATATTTTTTTGTGAGCTCTCAGACGGCAACCGTTGAGTGTGAAGCTCATAGCACAGACAGCAATAGTAGTCTGTAAAAAAACATACAGAGCAGTCAAGAGAGTGAAGTGAGAAAGAGGCGAAGAATTTTAATTGTAATTTTCCCAAAAGTATATATCTTGGCCTGATTATTAATTCATGAATTTGCGGCTGCTTCCCTCACTTAAATTTAATTTTATTGGTTTTGGATAATTTTTTTTTGCTGCTGCTCCTACTTCATGAGATGAAAATTAACTAGACTTGCCTTGAAGGCACTTTCGAGACGTAAAATATTAACGGTCGTGATGTGAAAAATACCATTAAATATATCGAGAAAATTAATTATTTCGACTTTGTGTAAATATTTAAAGGAAAATTTGTTTAAATGAGCTTTAAAATATATATGTCCGAATGTACTGCCAGTGGGTGCCACATTTTTCAGCAAGACGTTAAACATTAGTATTTTTTTTCAACTTCGATCGTTGAACTGACTGCGACTGAGTGATTGAATTATGTGAGTGATAATGATGAAATTCAAAATATTTGGACAAGAAAAAAAAAAAATTAATCTCAAATTACTTCAACGGTGGTTCATTGTAAAAAACAATTTTAATTGAGATGTGAATTTATTGGTTGTGCTTCCTGTGCTGTGGAATTTTCATTTAATTTGTGAGGCGTGTGTGCATTTTGTTGAAGGTTTATGAAAGTTAATAGCTTAATCATTCCATTGTTACTTGTCGTCCACCGAAGAGCCTCATACAATAAGTAAATGACCTCCTTAAATGCCCTCATCTCAAAAAAATCCTAATAATCAAGATCCACATGAGAATATTTCCTCATAATTCCTTAATTCAAAACACATTTCTCTTATCATTCATTCTCAAGACACCAAATAACAAACATTTTACAGAATTAAAGCATGAAACACAATACATTTCGTATTGTTACGAGCTACATTGTCATATGGACGCCAGATGATGCTTATATTTTTGCACAACAAACAAAAAAAAGTTACAAAAAAAATCTTTTTTCACATGAAATTATCAGTTTGTGTTGTGGTTGTGATGATTAATGATAAAAACATTTCTTGTTCATTGCTTTTTTTGAGCTTGTAATATTTAATGAATTTTTTTTTATTTTTGTGAGGGGTTTGGGGGTAGTTTTGTAATGGAATTTGACTATTTTGTGTAGTGTTGTAGTATAAAGAGAGCGGTTTGGGCCAGAGCTTGAAGTCGATGAAATTTTGTATGGAGTCAACTTCGGAAAATCTCAAGTCGACTTTGAGCTCTGGTTTGGGGTCAAGACTCAAATATCTTGATTATAGAATTTATTTCGTACCCTTAACTCAAGCGATACATAATAAATGAATGACTTGAACCCAAAAACCGTGTGTTTGGGAAACTAAATGGCTACAAAGGGGAGCCTTGTGCGATTGCTTCTGTAAATTCATTAAATTATCAATTAAAATCTTGAAAATCATAAATGAATTCCTTATTTTAAGATTTGAACCCAACAACATGCCTTCAAATTCTATTCCTCATCAATCTACAAATCCAGAAACTTTCTCAAATTAACCAATCACTGGAAATATTGTTCACAATTGATATTAATCCACCTCTAATATACGAATACAAACTAATAATATTATTCATCAATTCTATACCACACCCCGTAATTTAATAGAAAAACTTTTCATTTCGCAAATCATAAATTTCTTTCCCAAGATTCATCAATTCAGTTCCAGTTTCTCTCAAAAAAGACTTCAAAAAAGAATGAAACTAAAAAAAAACAAACAAAAGTAAAACTGATATATTTCTTATTTTTTACCCCCCACCAGACCCCTCTGTTCCTCAGAATATTGTTCATCTCCAATTTTTTATATAAGCCTCAAAAACTTTTCGCATTTTTTATTCTTCTCATTTTATTGCAAATATATTGAAACGTTTTTCATAAATATTTATGAATATTTTGCCTTTCCTCTACACACAGATTTTTCATTTTCATGAAGTTATTTACCTCCTTTCAATATTTTATTCTCACTTAAAGCCACAAAAGTTGCATTAACATTTTTTTTATGTACAACAAAAATTCATATGTGCTCATGCCGTAAAAGAAAACCTTTCAATAACATTATTGGAAAGTCTTGCTGTGCTTTCACATGTGCGAATATGCGAGTGCATTATTATAAGCCATGAAAAATCCATAAAAACGGTCTGAGAAATAAATAATAAAAAATATATATATTTGGGAAGAAATAATTGTGGAAGAAACAGAACAGGCAAGAAAAATCTCTTTTTATCTGTTTTGTTTCCAGGAAGATGCAGAATAACAAGAAGGAAAGAATTATGAAGGAAGTAAGGGATGAATGACGCATTATTATGAGTTTTTAAGGGGATTTGAAGGTGTAGACTTAAAGTGATGGAATTTAATGAAAAAAAAAATCATTAATAACTTTTGGATGTTCAGATTTGACTGCAAACTATGTAATGATTCGTCAGTGTATGATCTAGGATATTAATCCATTTAAAGACTATTCTGCTCGTAGATGACTTAGAACACTGTGGCATAGTGAGTTGGAAATAGAATTCTGTAATACTGGGTTTAGTTAAGACGTGAGTTTGAATCCTACTAGTGTATCTAGTCAAATAAGATGACTTTTACAGATCTAGAAATTAATTTGACTAACTGGTTTAGGTTTGTATTTTAAAGCTTTAATTACATTAAATGATTAGAAGTCAAGCTAGTTTGGGGTCAAAACAAGAAATATAATTTGTAGTAGGATCTTACCCAACTTTAGTTGTATTAAACAAAAATTTCAAATTAAATTTAAATGACTAGCTTTAGTCAATGAATTCTCAACATAGTGTCGCGGCACACATAGTTTTTACATAGATTTTATATTCAGAAAGAGGGTCTCTAAGATAATATTAAAAATCGAGCCCTACAGTCTATTTCTATTTCCCACTATCACCCCCCTAAACTCCTGTAAATTCTCATCAAAAACCACAATAAAACACACAAAAAGAACAATTTTCTTACAATTCAATTTTCAACAATACCGCAAAACTACTTCAATTAATATCCAAAAGCACACAACAAAAAAAAAAGAATCAAAACAAAAAGAGATGATCTCAATATTAAAAAATTTAATCCCTGCTATATTCGTTATTATTACAGCAATTGCTATGAGCTGTGCATTCACAAAAAAAAGAAGATTCCTCTCTTGCATCCCAATATTCCAATTTTTTAATTTCTTTCTGTTCATTTCAGCGTTAAAAGATTATCTGAAATGAAAGAAACTCGCGGCTTTCATGCCACGAGCATATCTTGCTATGGGATTTAAAATAGCACAACCAAAAAATGTTGCTTGTTTACAGAAAAAGAGAAAATATAAAAAAAAAATTATCATTCCTACTTCTGACTTAAAATAACTGACCGTAAATAAAAATTGCTGTAAAATGCCATTTTAGTTATACAGCTGCAGAGGCACAAGGACCACAAGACGAAACACAGAGCAAGAAAAAAAAAATATGGCAATATAAATGGGTAAGTGAACTCGCGCCACAACTGATGATGATGATGATGATGACGACGTGGTGGTGGTAGCAGCGGTATGGTACAGTAAAGTAACAGCTACAAAAGTGAAATTTATGACGGGTTTGTGGTGGAAAATAAATTTTTAATGGTACTTTTGGTGAAGCATATACACACACATTTATAACTCGTATATGCCACGATGAGTGCCATAAATTACATAATTGGATGAGATCACATCAACAACAGGCAGCAGCGGAAATCTGAAAGTGCTTAGAGAGTTCCATGCTTCCTTGCATTCAATAGTAACAAAAAAATGTTCTCCTTCTTGTTATATCCCCGGCAAAAAATATACACGAATTTATCTAATTTTCGACATTTCACGACGATAAAGGCACAACTAAAGCCAGCCGAGTGCACATGTCGATAAATAAAAAAAAAGATGATTTTTGTTGTGTATGGAATGGGGTAGAAGAGAATACTAATCAACATATGGAATGTAAAGAAGTATGGAGCAATCTGGCAAGAGCATCAAAAAGAAAATGATAATCTACATCATAGTGTATTAGTGAATGAAAACCTGGCAAAGCTATGGAAGCTGAATTATTGAGGAAAAATATTTATCAGAAAAATCAACGATGTGTAACTTTTCTTGCTTGCTGTTCATAATAAAAAAAGACATGAGATACAGGAACATTAAATTTGAAATTTAATTCAAGACGTCGCCAATCTTCGGATCATTAATCAGAATGAATAAAGGCAAAGGAAGTTGTAGACATGAGAGATGAAATTATGTATTATGCCCATTCTATACTCGGTACATTAACATAATATCATAAACCTTCCCACCTCAAATCCAACTTCCTTCTTTCTCATCTTTCGCCTCAAGTCTTATCATATACAAAATGGCATGGCAAGGTGAGTAATGTACATTTGCATAAATAATCTTGAAATAAAAATTGTATATTTAAGATGGTAACGGCATGGAAATTTTTTAAGGACATATACAATCGAGTGGCAGATGAGGCATGACAAACTACACGCTGAGGAATTATTTTTTTGTTTTGTGGACTTGATGAGGAGGCAATTGATGAGGCTCAGATGCTGATTTATTGAAATTGATGAGTTTTTTGAAAATAAAATTTAAAGTTAATTTTACTTAAGAAATTGTCAAGTTTTACTTTTACTGCTTTGTACTGCCTTGTTACTGTTGGATAATCATTCCAAGATGTGAATTTAAAATTGAAACTTTAATAAAAATAGTTAAAAAATTATTTCGAATTTTTTGATTGATTCTGATGATATAATTGACTTTCAGGAACATTTTAAATATTTCAGATTGACTGTCTTATTAAATAAAAGGTAGGTCATGATAGGAGCATAGTCAGAAGGACCTCAAGCCCAAGTCCCCTCTTCTTGATATCAAAAATTCAGATTTTCAATTTTTCTCCATATTTTTTATCTGCTTAATTTCGAAGAAATTTCCTCAAACCGTACCTGTAGTAAGATTAAAGCTGCTTAAAATTGAAGCAGGAACTATCAAAATTTCCAGCCACCAATACCAATCTCCATCCAATTCCCACCAGTGTATAATGAGGAACAAAGAACAAGAAGAGTAAAATAAAGAACAAAAAAAAAATTAAATTAAGATAACAAGAATGGATTTGTTTGAGACACACATAGCTCTGGCATCTGAAATTGAAATTTGTGTCCTCACTCATTCAGATATGCCATATACAGCACTAAAGAAAGGCGAAATGAGAAAAGATTTTTTTATCTACCTTTATTTTATACCATCGCCATCATCTCATTGCACATATAAAAGGGAAGAAATGAGCATTGCCAAGAGCACAGAGGTAAGAAGGAAGTAGAGTACAAGAGACGAGGAAAAAAAAGATGAGTTTTGGGGCCATTTGAATTAATGCCAAAAATTAAATGATCCGAGTCTGCTATTAAAAGAAAATGGTCCCAAGAATCATGAAAAATTATTCCCCACTTCACCGTAAGCTCATTTTCCGTCTCTTAAAATGCAATACGGATGGACATTTGTGAGTTCTTTGGAAAGAAAATGGAAATTTTCATTCATTCTACATTTAGTTTTGAGGAGTAAGTGGGTGTAGGAAATTGTTTGTTTTGTGTGATTTTTTTTTTTTGTAAAAGAGTAGAATTTGAGGTACAGAATGGTTAGATGGTTGGCTTTTTAGGCTGATTCAGAGACTTGACATAGATATCTCCAGACTAGGAAGGTTTTGCAGTCATTATTATAGTTTTTTTTTGGAAAAATGATCAATCTTGCAGTCTAATGATTCATAGTTCATCGTTTCATCTGCTTTTAAAAGTTTGTGGATCTCTTCTAGACTTAGTGACTTCTTACTCAATTCTTAAACTGACGCTTTAAGCAGGATTTGAACTCGTACTTCAATTACACATTGTTACACATCTTCCTAAAGCTTACAAGAAAGGCTTTTTCTTTGAAAACTGGCTCTGTAAAATGATAGATCATAGTGATCAAGGAAAAAGAAAAGAAAAATAAAAATCAGTCGATATACACGTAGATAAACGTAAAGTTGTTTTCAATTCATTGAAAGAAAAAATTGGATAATTAAACATGGCGCAGTCGTTAATATCAATAGAAAAATTCAATTTTGAGGCTTCATCACTAGGATGTGAATGGAAGCGCTTCTCTACAGAATTTAATTCGTATTTGGTGATCAACGAAATGGAAACTCAACCTGACAATATAAAATTACATTTCTTCACTCTATTAATGGGATTCAAATCAGTAGAGCTGATTAAAAATCTTCAAATAACAGATGCTGATAAGAAGGTCTTCAAGAAAGTCCTGGAGGCAATCGAAAGATATTTTTTGCCTGCTTCAAATTTTATGATTGAAAGGATGAAATTTCGTAATCGAGTACAGCAAGAAGGTGAACCAATCGACTCATTCATCGATGCTACACTCAAGTTAGCTGAAAATTGTGATTTTCAAAATTTTAAGAATGAGGCAGTTCGTGATCAAATCGTTTTTGGATTAAAAGACAGCAATTTACAAGAAAAAATCATTTTGGGAGAAGATAAATCATTGAATGCTGTGATAAACAAAATCAAAATATTTTACCATCATCAAAAAGAATTTAATAAAATCGTATCAGAGAAAGTTCAACAAATCCACAAAGTCAATAAGCACCACCAACAACAATCGACATGCAGTTATTGTGGAAAAGGTACCCACGAAAAGAGCAAATGTCCCGCTCGAAACTTCACATGCTTCAATTGCGGCATTAAGGGACACTTTGCAAACGTTTGTATGACGAAGAAGAAGAAAAAAGAGGTGAGTGCAATTGAGGAAAATGAAAAAGAGCTCGAATCAGTTGTTAGTTGTGATTCATTAGATAGGTATGTAAATAATAAGAATGTTTGGCATAAAAAGTTAAAGATAAACGATAAATTCATTGTTTTCAAATTAGACACTGGTTCCCAAGTAAACACTATAAGCATTAAGCAATTTAAAAGCATAGGAACAAACATCAAGTTGGAAAAGAGTAATGTTAAATTGCAGGGTTATTTTGGAGAAATCAATGTGCCTTTAGGAAAAACAGTTCTTCCGTTAAAAATTAATAATAATCTGTATTTGGAAGAATTTATTGTTATTAATAAAAATACCGAGCCGCTGTTAGGTCTCGAGTCGTGTATAAAATTAAACCTTATTTCTCGCATAGATACAGTTGAAATAAATAAATTTCTATGCTCAGAAAAGGAAAGAAATAAGTTTATTAATTATTATGGAAATGCGTTCTCAGGTTTAGGTAAATTTGAAAAAACTCTGAAGCTTACTTTAAAGGAAAATTCAATTCCTGTCGCTAATCAAAATCGTAGAATTCCATTTAAATTGAAAAATAAACTTCAAAATAAGCTTTTTGAAATGGAAAAGTTAGGAATTATTTCTCGTGTTAATGAACAGCGCGAGTGGATTAACAGTATAGTAGTGGTTGAAAAAGGAGACAAAATCAGAATATGTATTGATCCTAAATATTTAAATCAATCATTAAATAAATTTCACTATCCTATACCATCTCTGGAAGAACTCAAACAAGATCTTAAGGATTCCGAATATTTTACAGTTTTAGACCTCAAAGATGGTTTCTGGCATATCGAATTGGATGACGATTCCAAAAAGTTATGCACTTTTAGTTCTCCTTTCGGCCTATGGCAATTCAACAGAATGCCTTTTGGAATTAATATCGCCTCAGAGGTTTTTCAAAAATACATGTCTGATAATTTTGGTGACTTGAATGGTGTCAAGTTTTATATTGACGATATCGTCATAACAGGCAAAACCTTGAAAGAACATGATGAGAATTTGAGAGATTTAATGATTAGAGCACAAGAAAAAGGTGTAAAATTTACCGAGAAGAAATTGCAGTTTACGCAAAGTTCGGTTAAATTTTTCGGTCATATATTCTCAAAAAATTCGGTCCAAATTGATCCTGAAAGAGTTTCAGCTATCAATAATATAACACCTCCCCAAAATTTAGAAGATGTACAAAAATTTTTGGGAGTTGTAAATTATGTTAGGGATTTTGTTCCCAATCTACCTTCTTTAACAGTAAACATACGTAACTTGTTAAAAAAGGATAGTGAGTTTTTATGGCTTGAAAATCATCAAGCAGAATTTGAGAAAATTAAAGAGGCAATAAAGAATGCCACTATTTGCACAACATTTGATGAAAATATGCCCATAACTATTGAAACTGACGCATCATCGTATGGTTTAGGAGCATGCCTTAAGCAAGGAGATAAAATAATTAGCTTTGCTTCTCGATGTCTCTCCGATACAGAGAAAGATTATGGTCAGATTGAAAAAGAGTTCTTGGCAGTTTTCTTCGCTTGCAATAAATTTCACAATTACATTTATGGCAGAAAAGTAACAGTCATTTCTGACCATCGTCCGTTAGAAAGCATTATGAATAAAGACTTGAGCAAAATAGGATCCAAGCGCCTACAGCGTCTTAGATTGAAATTGCATAAATATAACTTACAATTAAAGTACAAACCAGGAAAAAGCATAGTTCTAGCAGATTATCTCTCGCGATACATTTCGGGGAAGACTGTAAAAGATTTCGAAGAAAAGTTTATGAAGGAAATGATTCATTCTGTAAATATTAGTGATGATAAACTGAAAGTTTATCAAACAGAAACAGATAGCGACATCGAGTGCTCTTTGTTAAAAAAGTATTTTTCAGATGGTTGGCCCTCAGATAAGTCAAAAGTTCCAGATGAAGTTAAGTTTTACTTTAATTTGCGTAATGATATATATGTATCAGATGGTTTAGTTTATTATCAGGACAGAATAATCATTCCCAAGACACTCAGAGAGACAGTTCTTCGAGATCTTCATGAGGGTCATATGGGTATTAATAAGACTCTGCGTTTTGCTAAAGAGTCAGTCTTTTGGCCTGCTCTAAATAATTGTATAGAGAAAATTATTAATAATTGCGTTCCGTGTAACACATTTCAGAATTCAAATCGAAAGGAACCAATAATCCAACATGAAATCCCTCTAAGGTCCTTTGAGAAAATTGCTTGCGATATATTAGAATTTAGTGGCAAAAATTATTTAGTGGTTATCGATTATTTCTCGAAATGGATATCATGTAAATATTTAAGTTCAAAGAATTCAAGTAATGTAATTTCAAAATTAATTGAGGTTTTTACCGAGCATGGATTTCCTAAAACTATTATTGCTGATAATATGCCATTTAATTCATTTGAATGCAATACATTTGCTAAAGAATGGGATATAAATATAATTACATCTAGTCCTCGCTACCCGCAATCGAATGGCCTCGCAGAAAAGGCTGTGGGAATAGTTAAGAAAATGATGAAAAAATGCGTAAATTTTAATCAGGTATTGATAGCTATTTACAACTACAATAATATTCCGTTGACCGACATAGATTTATCTCCTAGTCAACTTTTAAATAATAGAAGGATGAGAACTAAAATTGTCATGAAAGATAGCTTGCTTGATCCTAAAATTAATATTCAGTTGAAGGAAAGATTTGAGAGTAAGCAACATAAATCCAAAGTCTATTATAACCGTGGTGCCTATGCGAGAACTGAGTTTAAAATAAACCAAAAAGTATGGGTTCAAATGCCTAATAAGAATTGGATAAGAGGTGTAGTCATCAACAAATGTCAACAACCTAGATCATATGAAATACGCTTAGAAAATAATAGTGTTATCAGGCGAAATTCAAAATTCATTCGGTTAGATAAATCAACAGTGTCTAATATGAATAATAATGATGAGGTTAGGAGTGAAGTTCAGCAATATAGAGTCAATTTAGATAATTTTTTCATGGATAACTCATTGCATAATCCTACTCGAAATTCAAACACAACCACAAACACAATTACATCTTCAACTGATGTTCAACAACAATCAACATCAGATGAAAATAATAGGAACCAACAACCTCCCAGACGTTCGTCAAGAATCCCAAAGCCAGTGCAAAGGTTTGGGAATTCATAAGAGAAGGAAGATGTAAAATGATAGATCATAGTGATCAAGGAAAAAGAAAAGAAAAATAAAAATCAGTCGATATACACGTAGATAAACGTAAAGTTGTTTTCAATTCATTGAAAGAAAAAATTGGATAATTAAACAGGCTCTTAACCGAATTAGATGCTTTTTGAGCTTCAAGGAGGATTATCCTAATGTTTGTGAGTCCCAGTTTGTAATTAGGTACGAAAACCAAACCATTTTGCAAACTTACCATTTAAACGCACTTCAATAAACTAGAATTTCAGCTCTTGATTGATTTTTGGTGGGAATCGAACCCAAAGTCTTGGTTACAGTATTTCGTTCCCTTGGCTTTAACCACTAAGTCACAGCGGCTTTATACCAGCAATATTTTATTCGCTTACACATGGTTTTATACTCCGAAATCTTTACACTCCTCCTAAATAAAATCCCTCAATATCATCAACTTGATCCTTCAATCTTCGACTCAATAAAATCCACAAATGCACCCCAAACATTCATTCATTCCAACTACCCCACTAACTTTTCTGTTCTGAATGTAGATAAATGGCCTTAACTGACATTTAAAAAAATACTTGTTTTTTCACCCCCGTCAGCAAAAGTCAGTAATTTCTTTTTCTTGTGAATCAGGCACAATTTTTTTATGATCCACATTTTTTATGACACAAAAAATTATGATAATGTGAGGATGCCCACTTCATTTTTAGGAACAACAATTTATTCCATTCGTTTTCCTTCATTGAATATAATTCTTTTACTGGGTTTATGAACATCCACATGTGTGTGTGTTTGTGTGTGCTGGTGTAATTTGACATGTCACTTCTTGGGTATTACAAATAATGAACATCCGAAGCATCACATTATGAATGTGAAGTAAAATGAAGAAAAAAAAGGACACAGAAGTTTATAATGCAAAAGGATATATTTATGGGATTTTCAGTGCTATTTATGTACACCATATGATGTCAAGGGTTCTATAGAAAATAAACATGACATTACTGCAATCTCTTGGAAATGGCTCTCAGAAATAAATGTGTGGCAACTGAACACATCTCATGAGAGATTGAAATTTAAAGATTTTCTTTCTTCTTCTTCCTGTCTCTCTGTTCAGTTGCCGAGGGTTCCTTTTTTAATTCCTTTTGTAGTCTGTATACTCAAACTACACATTCAGATGACAATTTTAAAGGAATTGAATGAAAAACTTTGTTTTGCTGATGCTATTATTTGTTAAATGGATTGCACCAGATTGCACATGAAATAATGACAAAGATTCGAGGAGCGGGAGTGAAAATCGAGTGGAATTGGGAAGCTTTAGAATGAAATCTTGTGGATTTAAAATCACAAATTATATTTTGAGGGATACGAGGCTTATGTCTCAGAATTTTCACCTCAAACAACTGTTAAAGTTAGTAGCATCAAGATTCCATTAGTCCATAAATTTAATGATATTACGGTCATAAGTTTATTGAAGCATAAAGTTCACAATAAAACAATTTGATTGTCGTAAACTCCACCCCCACTCAGGCACAAGTTCTCGTAAAGTTTTGAATTACCATTTGAGCATTAAGATTCGAACAATAAATTTGTAAGCTTCAAACCCCTTTAATGCAGCAAATGTAGTTCTTCGTAAATTCTTCGCTTTTTACAAACTTCCTTAGAGCTCCACTGTTGTCATGTATCTTTCTTTAAAAGTTAGCAAACAATACAATAAAACTAATAAACATCTACATGCATAAGAAGACCTAAGCTTCTAGAATTCACCGAAAAACAGTTGTATTCGTTTGAGAACTTTGTTGTGCTTGATGCTGGAGTATTTTTTTTTGGTGGATGTTTTGCATTTTGTCTTGAATCCATTGTCAATCTGTGGAATTTTGTTGGTTTAGAGAGGAACTATGGCAATCAAAAAGTTTAAGAAGCCAAAGCATGGCTTACGAGGAACAATATTTGGTAAAGGGAAGGACCAAGTTTTTGTTTTGAACCCAATTATCATAACTTTATTACGTCACCAGCTCTAGAGTTCACTTCTTAAGCTTATCATGAAAGTTATTTGAGATCTGCTTTGGATTTGGTTTATTTAATGGTGCTCTAACGATCAACTCAAGGGATATCCATTGGTTGTTATTCATAAGAATAAAATATCGCTAAAGACCATCTCTAAGATGATTAAAATCTTTGACCATGCCATTAACTAGGCTAAAGCATAAGTCAAGATGTTTGTGTCATGCTTTTCAAGCCCGAGATAAATTCACTTTTACAGTTTGTTGAACACACCAATTATGGATCTCAAATTGGATTCGAACCCATGTTCTCCGAGTTTTAATCGCATAATTTTACCACGGTACTATCGGTGTTACTCGGCTTTATGGTAAAATGTCATATTTAAGCTTCAGATTTTTCTGTTTTGCCTGATTAATCTCTGATTTGATAATAAGTCTGTAGGTTACGCCACATTGACAACTCAAAGGTGAAATCTTGGTCACTACAACATCATACCAACACCCTACCACGAAGCTATTGCTTCTTCTTCAAAGCTTAATGCGTCCCAATGATCCATCCATCTAAACCAATCTCTAACTCACATTAATTCCTCACTCCCTCCTCAACATCTATCTCTTATTCTTGTATTTCTTTTATATCTCTTTTCCAAGGAATGTCGCTTTAATTTACATTTTAATGGCAACAGCCATGATAAGAGTGGAGAAATATGCTACTACGACTATATGTATAGAACTGAAATGCCATACACAATCTTTTCTACATTATATCGCCATAAGCAATGATATTGTTTTCTTTATAACCTCCTTATTTCTACTTCTTCATTCTTTTAAGCATCATGAAAATTGTTTGCTGCTATCTCTGCTTATTGTTTTGTTCAAGTAGCTTGAGATGTTGATTTTAGTTTTCCTAATGCCTGTCACTGTTATTATTATTGATGTTGACAATTCAGTGTATATGCGTGTGTGTATATATGCTTTATATAACCAGGAGGAGCCCGAAATAGATATAAAAATGACACGTGATTTCCCCCCATTTGAAAATTAATGTCAGTCCTCATTGTCTCTTTTATTTTTTTGTGTGTTCGTTAGAATTGAATTAATTGAGCAATAAAACGAATTATTTCATTTTTATGCTGTCGATGTGTGTGTGTGTCGGTGCTCTTCAATAATTCAATAGGAGAAAAAATAAGTCAAGACGAATTTTTGTGTCATTTATTTCAACACAATCGTACAGCGATAAATTTCAATTTTTTTTAATGTCACTTTCCAAAAAGTCTCCCCTTGCTTATAGGCATCATCATCAGAAATCAGAAAAATGTGATCTTAATGAAAATGAGTAAAAAGAAAAAAAAAACATGACTGAATGTTCACGATTTTTCCATTGTCTATTTTTAGGTGAAAAGAAGTGTCATTAATCTCGTCACCTTTTTTAAGTATCACAAGCTGAAAATTATTGCTTTTTGAGAAAGAAATGTAGTAATGAAGAAGAGGAAAAATAAAGATGTAAATTCCTTTCAGCTATTCATTATGACATGAACAGAAATAAAGTTTGTTTGGAAAATGATTGGGAATGGGGAGGATGTGAAGCATTTTTAATTTGGAGCTATTTTTGATTTTATGGTTTTTTCTTTCAGCCTCAGGGTCGTATTTAGAAATTTTTCAAGGATTATATCAAAGTTTTTATGTCAAAAAAATCAATGAATGAAGGTTGACTACACTATATGACTAAAATCTGACTATTGAATGATATAAGTCCAAAGAATCTTTCTTTGTTTGAAAGAATCGCATTGAGTGACTACATTTAAAACATTAAGACTGCATGCTGCGTGTCCAATGTCAGAAAATTAATGGGACCCAACTTTTCTTGCTACATACGCATACCATCGAGCTTATGATTGATATTAATTTATATTATGATATTGAAAGAAGTCAAATTTCAAAAGCTAAACCTTCTATCCTAATTACAGTCAAATTTTATTTCTTAGCAATAATTAAAAATCGATGGACTAGATTCTGGTCTCAGGTAACACTCCCGAATGGCACAAGTCGGTTAATCGATCAGAAATCCTGGAGCAAGCCGGTGTGATTCTGACATGGTGATGTATTTAAATCTAAGCCAGCACCAAGCTAGAGTCATGCCAGATTGGCATCAGATTTCTATTCGATTAACCGACTTGTGCCATTCGGAACTATAAAGTAGCTCTTGAACACAATTCTATACAATAATTAATAAATCAACCTCTAATGGGAATTGAACCGAGATCCTTAGAATAATAAAACCTTAATCTTATATTAACAGGAAGTAATTAAAGTAAGTAACCCCTTGCATTGACAGATTTTACAGCATATTACTCGATACCTCAGATTCAATATAGTCCAGATAGCATTAACATTAATCATAAGATATTGACAAAATGCATCAAAATTCTCGACAACTTTTTCTCTAAACCAGCAGCACGAACATTTATGAAGCTCAGCACTAAGAAGAAGAAAAAAAAATCTCGTCCCTCCTTATTTACATAGTCAATTCCATAGTGACTGACTAGATACTTAAAGATAGGTAGGTAATTATTTATAGAAAAGAAACAACATCGTCGCTACTACACTTATACAGTATTTGTTTCAGGAAATTCTTTTCATATTCCGTTCCAGAATTAATAGAAAATTATTTTCGTCGAACGAGACTCTCATAAAAAATGATGTTCCATCGTCGTCGAGGGAGATGAGCATAATTCAATATGGTAAATAAAGAAATAGAAAAGAGTTTATATCATTAAATTAATTTTATATAGAAAAATCTTATGATACTTCAAACAAATTCTTCTTATTTTTTTTTCATTTACTTTTTTTTATGTAATTTGATGCATCCGTTCCTTCCTCTATTCTATTATGGAAAATTACTTTTCATTCAATTTCATAAAGTCGAGTTTACTTTAGCGTGTAATGAGAGTTTTCAATTGAATCATTGAAAATTCTATGCTTGTGTATTGCTTATTGCATGCTTTGGCTGCTGATGATGCTCTCCACTTGCTAACCTAAAGGAATAAGCATTCTTTTGCAATGAGCATTTTTATTTTCTTTGATAAATATTTTTTTTTATGAATTGGTTGAGTGGAGAAGATCAGAGAATAACCTTTTTGACTTGAAATGACTTCGAGCTTAACGGTTGTTCCGGAGATGTTGGGGCGGATGTTTGTACTTGTTTTGTACCAATGTGCACCAATGTGCAGTTTGCTTAGTGAAAGGATTAATGGAGGTTTCAGTAAACTCTACTATGTTGTCGCTTATGATTGCTTCTTTTGACTTTCAGAATTATTGTCGGATCAAAAAGTTGCTTTTATTGGGAAATAAAGACGAAAATATTTTATTATTTTATATTTTTAGGATCCAGAACAATAAACCAAATTTTTACAAACTTACTTTTTTGGCTGGTATGCACGTGGGCCCATTGTCGCGCTTAGAGATCGTCTAAAGACTGCTCTATTCTTTGAAACCTTCGGGGGCTAGTTCGGGATTTTAAGGACTCCAGCGTCCTTTCCAAAATATCCAATCCAGGAATTATTCGTTCTTAATCGGCACAAAGTCTGCTACTGTTATTTTTAATTCCTGGGTATCTTGTGTGCATCTGAATACATGTCCAGCAAATCTCAATTCAGGCCAAAGCGTGGAAGCTCAGGATTAATCCTGAAAAAAATGAAAATGTGAAATCCTTTTTGAATCCCTGATGCATGTGATGAAAAGTTTCAGGATTTAAAAGACATTTCACATTTCCATATTAATTGGCTTAGAGATTTTTAAAAGACTCTTTGGATTTTTCAGGACTAGCTCTGTCCAAGATAATAAGATCCAAAACTTTCATAACAATTCCAGCAAGATTTAGTTCAAAAAATGTTAAACTTAAAGTTAAATGCGCTCCATCGACAACTATCAAATGCCAATACAACTCTCAACTCTTCCTCATAACATCGACAATAGAGCAGATAGTGTACTTAATTTTATCGAAAGAGGATGATTTTTTTTTTCATATTCTCGTAAGAGTAAAATCCTCTTAATTCTCATTTGAGCAAAACAGTCAGTGAATTTAAAGAATAAAAAAAATGATAAGAAGAAAAACTTTTTTTTTATATTTTTCTCAAATTTCAATTTGATGCTGAAGTAAAGGAAGTAAAAAAAATTGTTGAGAGCTGCATAAAATGTATGCACATAAAAGTTTCCTTCTCATCTATTTTCTTTTCTTTTCCAGTTTCCTAGTGAATTTAAATTGGATTTTAGTTGTATACAATTTTTACTTTTACATGTGCAGACACATATGATTTTTATTTATATCTTTATTTTTATAAAATTTATCATCCTTACATGACTTAAAAATAAATTTTCAATTTTCAACTTTATTCTCGGTTAATGAATTAATATGAGATTTTTGTCATGAATGTGTTATTAGTTACTCTATTGCTGTAAGACGTGTTGTTGTCAGCTTAAGTTACCAATTTTTGTCATGTCTTCCATTTTACAGAATTTATGATGATGAAATTTTAATGATGTATAGCGAATAATTAATAATGAGCTTGTAGTTTTTGGAAAATATGAGACATGAAAGTTTCTATTTTTGAAGATAGTCGTTGCTGAGTTTTCTGATAAGTTAAAGCTTTAGATTCGTTAATTTTTAAATTTTGTTAATGAAGTGGTCCACAGAAGTGCTCGTGTGTGAGCCACGCTGATTTTTAACTATCAAGATTGCATTATCGTAAATTGTGGCTTAGTTTTAAAGAAAGTATCAAGTTATGAACCATGCGGTCAAAGTTAAGGACTGTGATAATCAAGTTTAGACCCTATTGGAAATTCCTGGTAAAGCTACATTAATGATAATACCAATAACACTGTAAACAGAAAAAAATATAGTTTAAATTGATATTCTGTTAAACGTTTTATTTAACTCTGATAGCTCATTGGTAAGAGTATGGGCTGAGATGCTAATGGACGCAGGTTCGATTCCTGCTGAGGACAAGTTGTTGCTAAGTTTACTTTTTTCTGCTAAAAACTCATTAGGGGTCGTTCACTTATGATATCCGAAATTAACGGTCATTTTTCAAAAAAGAACAATGGAGTTCCTGGAATTTCTATTGTTCTTTTCTTGCTGACCTCCCCCCCCCCCCTGGACGTTATAAGTGAACAGCCCCTTATTAAGTTCCATAATTATCAAAACTAAGTTTAAACAGTCCCCAAGTCTAGTATTTGTTCATTCTAAGATTAGTGACTTGCTAGATCAATGGTTCTCAAACATTTCAGATCGCGATGAACTAGCCTCTAGATCTTGTGTTAATTAACGACGTAAAGCTGATTCAAATGATCGAAATTGTTTAAAACCTATTTTATCAAATCTGCATTCTTGAATTAAATTTTGCGTGTCACGGAAAACAGTTTGAGAAGCACTGATGCATTTATCGATCTTGCTAAACCAAATTTCGTCTTCGATAAGAAAGAGAACTTGCAATTAATTCAAATTCCAGCAATAATAGTCAAAAATAATCATCAACTCATCACCATCCCACGTCTCATTATTTAATTAAATGCTTTTAATAAAGCCCAACACAAAAGTAGTTGAACTAAAAGTTTACCAGCCATCAAGTGAGTTCTTTCATCTTTACATATCTTATTCCACCAGAAAGCAGAGGCATTTCCATAGAGGATAAGAAAGTTTAAATTAAAAGTATAATATAATGCATATATCATACAAGGAAGATGAGCAAGAACAAAAAAAATTTAACATTCGCATTGTTATCCATTTCTTCCTTCTTCCACTCTATCTTACTCTCTCTCTCTTTTTATCCCCGACAGCATCGTAACTCTGACACATCTTTTGCACATGTTGAAAAATCATAAAATTTGTATTAAGTTTCAACATTTCTGCTGCTGCTGTATCTACTGTTGGAGAGTGCATAGAGAATGGTGTTTGCTGTCGAGATAACTTAAGCAGTAATAGTTGCATTATACAAAAAAAAGAACCCAAGTGAAAGAGAGACGATAGCTGTAATATCTGTAGATATATAGCCATGGTACCTAAAATACATAAAAATTGTTAGAAAATGTGCGGAGGTCTGTTGTGAATAATGATGAAAGGAACAAAAAAAAAAGAGATTCAAACGGTTTTATTTTTGGATGGTGTGTGCTAGTTTTCAGTTTGGGTATTTTTTATAGGATAAGCATGTAGATATAGAAATACTTGACTGTAGAGTGTTGAAATAAATTGTAGAAAATTCTGACAATTTAAAATTAATTTAAATTTTTAATCAAATATGAGCTGCTTACTGATGACGTCCTCCAAATTATGGGATACTTAGGCCCTTTCAAGCACCCCTATTGCCATAAAATTTTCGTTTAAAAAACACAAAATCCCAGACCTTCAAATATGATAGACGTCATAAGCAGGTGCGTAGCCAGAAGGGGGGAGGGGGGGGGATTTGGGGGACAAATGTGAAAAAATCACAAAAATTCCATACAAAAATTTTTTTTGAACCCCCCCTCCTCAAATTCCTGGCTACGCCCCTGGTCATAAGTAAATGATTCAAGCATAAATTGAAAAGTAT